TAAATCTGCTGTTTTACATGATTGTTGAATGAAATTAACATAATTATTAATTTATTGTAAAAACATGACAGATAATCTGTGAAACAGAACCAGTTCAGCTGTTGTTTATCTGTTAGTTTCTATGGAGGCTGTGAGCTGTTGTCGTTTGGTCTGTTTCTGCTCCTCCATGCTGTCACAGATGCTAACAGTGGACGGTATGGGCGGGGCTCAGTCTAKTGATCTTATTCAAGTCTATGATTTTATCACTATCCCTCCAAAAAAATGAAAATGCATCAGCACAAAAAAAAAAACGCCAAAATTACCTGCTCACATCTGTTACACACTTGACAAGTCTGAGTACTCTTCAAGTCTCAGGAAGATATTTTGAAGAATGAAAATAAAAGGAAATCCTCTTTAAATATTTAAAGGTAACTCAGTAAACCGTGTCTGCTCTCACCACTTGGGCCTCTCCGACCTGAATGTCGTCCTGCAGCATCAACCAGCTGGCTGCATCAAAAACGACCACCCTCCCTCCACTGAGAGCCACCCACAGCTTCGGGTTCATCTCACACTGAGAGCTGCTGCCGCTTAACTGACCTGAAACAAACAAACAAACAAACAAACAAACAAAAACAGATGATGTCTGAGAGAGAAGTAAATTAACTTTAAATTAAAATTAAATTAGCTCAAAGCCAAACCGGCAAACTTTTCCTCATCAGTCTTCAGCTTATATGATATCAAATTAAGCTTGAATTTCTTATCAACGATTAAAAAAAGTTAYACCAACAAGATGACATGTTTTTAAAGATAATATGACTACTATATGACTACAATGTGACCTGAATGTTCTTTAACCATCACATAAAATAAATCACTCTGAAAGTAGTTTCATCAGATACCTGGAGTGTACAGCAGCACATGGACCGTCTGAGGTTCTGCCAAGTCCAGTGACGGGTTGATCTTGTGCTTTAAAGTCTCTGAGGCAGGGTCAGGTTCCTTTATAGGAGCTGAACAAACACAACTAATGAACAAATAAACTTTAGAACATGCACAGAGAACAAACAATAGAAAATAATTAGAGATTATTAAATAACGTTCAATCAAACTCCCTAAAATAAAATAAAAGTTTAGTGGTATTCCAATAAATGCAGAGAGTTCTGCAGAATTTTTGGAAGAGAAAAAAAGGTCAAGCCAGACCCTCGTTGTTGAATTGATCAAAGTAAGCCAGTTTTGAGGCAGCAGCGATGGACTTCTGTGTCTGCAGGCAGCCTACGACAGCATCCATCAGCAAGACGTTGGTCAGAGCTTGAGTCATGAACTCAGGGTCCTGGACAAACAAAAAGGAAAATTCTGTTTGTTTTAGAAGAAAATGAATTCTTTTAATTTGGTTTTAGGACCCACGGTGGGTTCTCAACCCTAATTTGCTGTAGATGAAACCTTAAAGTGCCCGTGACATCAACTTTTTTGTAAGAAATGTGAATAAATTTTTGGAAAGACAACATTATTAACATATCATGAAACAAATTTTGCGATGCTCAGATGGACGGTTGTTGAGATATTTGCATGTGAAGCAACAGGAAGTGATGTCAAAGAGGAATGTCTGCATATGAATATAAAAAAATGTCACCAATTATTTTGAGACAAATTATAATCATCCTATTTACAATGTGTTAACATTTTTAAGACTTCTGACAGATTTATTTAAGACATTTTAAGGCTAATTAAGGCCTTATTTTTGGATCAATGAATTCAATGCCTTTTAAGACTTTTTAAGGATCTGCAGGAACCCTGATTTAGCAACTGCTAATCCACTAATAAATTTTAAAATTAGCAAAAGTCCTAAAGCACTAATCAGGAAATTAGTTCCTCTATTATTGCTTTAGGGCTTTAGGGGAACTGTGCCCACCACTGTTAACCTTAAATGAATGATTTAAATGTAAAGAAGAAGGATTTAAAATCTTGATACGTCTATTTCAATGTGGTTTTTATTTTCCTGTTTACGGCCATTTCGTGCAGAAAAGAAAAGTTAAAAAACAGACGGTAAATATTACTGCAGCTTCTGCCCCGTTTGTTAAAATATTCTGACATTTGTTTCCTGTGTTGTACCTTGTGTTGGTCTGCCATCCTGCGTCCCCCCCACATCTCTCTGACCACCAGGTTCCAGAGTTTGGTCTCTGTCTTCAGGTTGGCCTCAAACACTTCAGACCTGCCGGAGGACTGGATGCGAAGAGAGGAAACACGAGCGAGAAGGAAAGGAGCTGAGGCAACCTTCAGCCCCTGCAGAGAGACAGAGAACGGATTGATTCAAACGGGGGTCCGARAATCACACCGGTGGGACCGAGGACGATTCAACACTTAACCTGTATGTCTCTGAATTTGGTGATTTCCAGGAAGCCTGGTTTCCCCTCAGTGACCAAAAACAGACGTTTCTGCGTCATGGCGATTTTACCGACACCACGGGACGTCTTCACAGAGGACGACAACTTGTAGACACATTCGCTGTCGTCCAGCTTGGAGACCACCTCAGAGGGCAGGTTGACATCTTGTGCTTCGGCCTCCATCTCCCTCCAAAAGGTGTGGAAGAGTCTGAAGACTTCAGGGACTACTGCCTGCTTTGGATGGCCTGAGACAAAAAGAGATTAGAAGAAAAAAATAATGTAGTGAGAGGTAAKATAAAAACAAACTACCACTGCAAAATCAGGAGCTACGGCAACAAATAACGCCCAGAAAACTAATATATGTGACCCATCGCATCGAAACAAGGATTAAGTCTAGAAGTGGGATATGGAGAAATAGGCAAATATAGTGTTTTGATTAAAACRTGTGCAAAAATTGCATTTTGTCAAAACATAATGAAGACTTATCAATGTATCATTTGAATGAACTGTCTGAAATATAATAATAAAACAAAATTTTGAAGCACTTTTTTG